TAAGAGTAGTGTATAGCTTAGCAAGACCGATTCTGTGATCTGGAAATAGTTTCTTTCTGCAACCTTTTTCTGTATTACATAAATTGGTACTTAGACCGAAGGGTCTTGTATCGTCTTACTTGAATTCGTTATTCAGAGTTGCTTTGACTTAACTCTTGAGAGCTTTGCTTTTATCGTATTCTCCAACTTCATATGGCCCTGAAAGAGTTAATATACATTCTTAGGGTCAACATATATGCTATACACGATGTTGCAGTTTAGCCTCACTTCAATGGAATGATATGGCAATCTTTCTTGCTTCATGTGTTACAATACATGGCGTTGGCGTGAAGGTGATCGATCTTGCGTGTCTTTGCGAAGCAGACTTATGGGCATGGGAAGAGCGTTTTAAGCAATTTTGCACCGGTGTCAACCCATAAGGTCGTGTTAGATCATGCAGCTGGTGTGTCTTCCCACACAGCTGCACTTCCGCAGATCCGGAGTTTCTTCGCGAGTGTCTTCCTTAACACTCAATATCGGATTTCTGAAGGGATTGTCTGCCGCTATCCGTAATCGGATTGAAAGGGCAGCACAGAAGGTCAAGGGAGAACATTCCAAGGACGCGGTTCAGCCGTATCTTTCTCAATACCAAGATTAAACCTTTTCTTGCCGTTGATGCTGTCTGCATCATTGAGATGGATTATTGGTGAAATCTTGCCCCCGCACTTCGAGGTGGAACAGATTGCTTCTTTCGTCTCAACTTCAATAAATGGAAAACATTTAATTTTCAAGCACAATGGCTTCTGGGAGTTTGAAAGAAATATAGCCTTCTAAGGGGAGTGATTCTACGGTTTGCGTTTGATAATTACAGAGAAACCTGTAATCCTGTGCGGAAAAGCACTGGCATATCGCTATTCGTTTTTCGTTCGCTTTTGCCGGGAAACAGGTGTACTGAGTGTACTGAATTAGCTACCCGTAAGATTTAATAATGATTTGAAACAAAATGCCTGGATATTGACTATAATTTTTCCACAATGTTTCAGCAAACAAGATGAATGGCTAGCCAGTCTACAATATATGCAAGTCAAATATCAGGGACTTCAATTGATATTCAGATCTGTTCCCACTGCCAAATAGAAAGTTCAATGGGTTGTTGTTATTAAGATGTCCCTCCAGAAATCAAATTTCCGGCTCCCTGTTGCCGACACGACGCGTGGCAGAACACACCCCTCACGACCCAAGAAGAGCGGCTCATTTTTTTTTACTTTGAAAGAATATTGTTAACTCCACCTCATGGGTTTATTAAACTCTTCACGTGCAGCATGCTCTCCACGTAAGAAGCAATATCTTACAATGCACGTCGTGATCCTTCTTTTAACCTTTTTCGACGTCAACACTCGTCGTGTCAGCAACGGATAAACAACAAATGAAAAGGTCATATGAAGTTTCTGCCATTCTAAAGTGATAAAAAGATAGAAGATCCAATACTGTGTTCATTCTAATTTAGATTCACTGCAGCTGACGCTGAACTAACCTTCCCAGCACTGACGCAAATCAAACATTGTTGTTTCCATCTGCGTTGCCAGACTATGGATTTTCTCTCGGTTTCATCCCTTCCCCTTTTACTTTTCTCGGACGTCATTCCGCAGAAATCTGTAATCCTCTCAACTTTGACAGGAAGGAATTGGCCTCCCCCAGTCTGTCCTCACGGCCGCCCTACTTAAAAATGAAACGAAATGTCGACAGCATCTGGTCGTCACGAAGAAAACCATAAACCATAGCTCAACACCGTGAAATCTCACGTAGACTAAGTGACCTTTCTGCCTAATGGTTGAAACGACCTGTTCTTGATGGCTGGCTATCTATCACTGACCAGAACGAAAACCCTCACGAGAATTGTATGCCTGTGTTTTCCCTCTAAGGTTATAATATGGATGAACATGAGTTTTCGCATCAAAGAGCAAGGACATCAGTGCTGTTTTTCAATGACATGCAAGGAAAAAGTCATAGGCTACGCTAACTGGCTTTTGCGACCATGCTAATCTGAACACGGGCAATATCAAAGACAACAGACTCGATCATTGGGATTGACATGTATACGTAACATGTTGACCTTCCATGAAAGTGAAGGACAGAAGAGAAAGAGTGTAGCCTTTAGCCTTTTGAATCTATGCCAACGTTTTATCATAGAGCTATGCCTATCCACTATTGACATTCACCTGCCACGACCTTACCTTACCTGACGCCTCACCTTGCAATTGCCCTGCCCCACCTAGCCCTCAGCTCAGTGTCATTCCGCATCGATACCTCTATGCGTGCCTCATGCCTATCTACGTAAAAGCTAGATCATTATATTTCCTTTCAAGTTGAAACTGAAGAAGGATTACAACCTTGCTTGCCAAAACATGTTGGAAAGTTTGAGGTGTAGGCGAGGGTGTAGGCGAGGTTTAGTCATGAAACGTCCCTGCGAACTTTGTGAGTAAATTTAAACTAAAAGTTCCTACTAGTAAGTATGTACATGTATACTATAATGCTCAGAGCTAAGGTACAGGCTGCGTCATAAAACTTAGCCGTCAAGCCATGTAGGTAAGGAAGCTTGTTCTATGTCCATAATTTCATTCAGGAATATCATTGATAGACACAAAGCATTTTCCTTACTCTGTATACGTGTTACTGAATCTAAGTTGTATGGGTTCTCAAAACGCTACTTAAACGCCACAGTGGTTGGCCGCAGCTTGTAACATCTGTTGACTACATCGTTATAAAACCGCCCACAAACCTTATACCGCACCGTGTGGAGTTTGGTAGAAAGCTTTCCCATTTTTCTCGTGGTAAACAATTCCCGTGGCAGTAACAATGGACGTGGAGAACCCACCCGATGGTGGTAATAGCAGCATTACGGTGGCTGACATAAAGTACCGGTGGGTCGACAAAGGCATTACTGGTGTAGATCTTAATGGAATGATAGAGCCTCGAAGCGTTCCCACAACAAAGTCACCTGTCACCTTCCTCTTGTCATTTAATTCTATCTGTATCTTATGATTAGGGTTTTAGCCGTATCTTTTGAAAATGCCGCAAATCGATAGTGAGGGAAAGTGCACTGTAATGCTATAAGCGGCTGTCCTTTTGTTGGAACTTGTAAGAACCTCTGGTGACCTCACGACCCACGCACCCCAGGGCACCGTAGTTCCTTATGTAGTCCATTAACGTAAGTCCTCGGGAGTTGGTGATGAAGTGACAGGTTCAGTGGAAAAGTGTACTTGTTATCGTTCAGGGTAGTCGTTACGGCAACTTTCGGTGACATCAATTTTCACCTTTGTCCGTCGGGTAGACATGCCCGAATCTTGCGGACGTGATAACCATGCTGATGGTGTTCGTGTTGGTACACTTGGGGATGGTAAACGGAAGGTGACGAAGAGCCCCTGTAAAGCCCCAGAGCCAGCACGTCGGCAGAACGTACTGCGCCTGCGCAGAACCCTACATTTTCACGCTTTTCGGTGGATTTTTGGTCAACGTTGCATTGGAATTTTGCCTGTTGCAGAGGATATCTTTTCCAACATAACATTTGGAAACTACAGACGAGATGTTAACCTTATATGAGCGAATACAACCTTATATGAGACGTTCTGCCGAAGTGCTATGTATAATACATTACGGGTTTCGCGCAGGTGCAGTACGTTCTGCCGACGTGCTCCCAGAGCCGAACTTGGCCTCCCGATCACTGTCGAACTTCCCCAACCATGGTAAGGATTAGAGAGAGAAAGGTCGGCTGAGGTTGGTCGGTATTCGGCGACAGCTGGCTACTGACACCGAACGACTTGTTACGCCTAGCCTTTGAACATCTAACTGTAAACATTGTTGAAAGCTATCTAGTGATAATGCCCCTACCGTACTTGGTGGCATCGAGTTCCACTCTGCGATAGTTCTAGGATAGAATGAGTTTTTGGACACCTAAATCCTTGGTTGATAACTCTGGCAATTGGAGGCATGGCTATTCCCTGTTTTTCCTTGAGCTGGTATTTTGTACATAGTAGTTTGTTTCATGCTTCTTTGCCTTAATGCTTGCATTCATTTCATGCCATCAACATGTGTTGGGAGACTCCTGAGTAACTGCTTACCGGTATAGTACATTTCTGCTGTTAGACAGAGGCGTAGATAGGCAGTATACACGTACAGCCGTTCATCACAGAAGATGTTTAATTGGGACTGCAAAAAAGAACATCAAGCATGGTGCTTTTCTTTCATTATTTATTGCAGACGCGCTGTGAGCATCGTTTAGTTTACGGTTATACCACCGTAGTTTATGGCCTGCTCCCGTGGCTATTGTTTATTTAGTATCTTACACAGAATTCGAACCAATAAATGTAATAGAGAGGTGATAAAATGTGATCACGAAACTTTTAATGCAAATAATGGTGTCTCTAGGAGATCCTCCGTAGTTTGCGGGTGAGTGATTGCACTTGATCTACAGCCCAGCCATAAGGGGCCAGGCACGAACACCGGTGCTAACCACAGTAATTGAAGCATTTTGGCTCGCCTTTGGGCAGACCTTTAATTACATGTCACAAGGCTGCGTTACAGAACACGTACCATGTATTTCCCACATGCCCTTATGACTGCTCTTGAGGCTGCTCGAGCCATTCTTTGATTGATGAAGGAGACCAGGAATCTTGAGCGTGCGACAATGAAGCTAGCTTAAGTTTCAGCAATGATTCCCAGCAGCGAAACCTAAAAGAAATCCTCAGATTAAGAAAGCGTTGAAGGATTGCCTTCTCGTCGGCCATTGCACTCGTGACGGTAACTTTGAGTACAGAAACGGATGGAGCACGAAACATGGCTATGGCATTCCCAGCGTCCGCCATGTTAGGTGGTTTCACCTGTAGGTTGCAAAAGGAATTTGAATATGTAATTCCACAGTATACACATACACATGCACCTCCAGGCTCAACCAGTCAGCATATATATATGATGGCTATGACACCAATGTCAGCATCTTATCGAACCATGGTATATCTCAATAAATGATATGTGTGTTCTTCTCTCTTCCAGCTACTTTCGTGGACATCCAATATGAAGCTACAATGTTGGGCAATCTGACAAACGCTATCCATTTCAAAATCAAAACCTAATCATTTGACAACAATCAAAACATTCCCCAAAATTAACGCCTGCAGCCCAGATACGTTTCGTAATACCATATAGTCATATTTTGATTTGAAAGATGGCCGACATCTTCGAATTCTTAGATAATTCCACCCGGTCCGACAGCAACCAAACTGCTGACGTGAACTGGACGATATCCACGGCCACACGTCTGAAACAGTCGGTCCCGGTTATCGCCTTATTTGGCGTGTCGTACTTCCTCATCTTCGCCCTCTGTCTGGTCGGCAACACCCTGGTGTGCTTCGTCGTCATCAAGATCCCGCGCATGCGCACGGTGACCAACTACTTCATCCTGAACTTGGCCGTGAGTGACCTCCTGGTGGGGATCTTCTGTATGCCCTTCACACTGGTGGACAACATCGTCCTTGGTAAGTGTCTTTCGGGCCTTGTAGTAGTAGCAACAGCAGTAGCAGTGTCAGTAGCAACTATCAGTATCAGTATCAGTAGCATACCAACTATCAGTAGTGGAAGCAGCAGAAGTAGAAGGAATAATAGTAGCAGCAGCAGTACTAGTAGTAATAGAATGGGTGACTGAAATGGGCAAACCCTTTGGTCAACAGATATTTTCTGGAATCTTCCAGTTTGATACTCAATTCGAGCCACCGTACCCATACAATACAATTCAAGGCAGAAAAAAAATCTGGATAAGGAAATTCATCTATTGACATTTGACAGTTACTGCTGTGCTTGAAATAACTATAGCTAGCCCACAAACAAGCTGGGTACCACCAATAAATAGCTAGATGCAACCTAGGATACAAAACAAGCAACCGTTTCCAGCAGCGACACGCATTTTTGCCTCACAGATATCATATTCAACTTTTAACATTAAAAGAATGACCAGGAAATTTAGTTGGAAAATCCAGCTTTGCCAAACTGATATCGCCCTGGATGCCTTTAAGGCATGGTCCCGAGGAGTTTGATCAGCGCGGGGTAAGTATGGACAGCCTGACTGATCAAAGCTTACATAAAGTGCCAACTTACGGCTAATATTCCCCACAGAGATGTAGTAGACTTTATAATGATGTGCGGGTAACATCAATCAAAAAAGGTTGCCTTTTATGTATAAGCTTCCTTGATGAGCTGAGTACCAGTCAGTCCTGTAGGTGCTGCACTAATTGATAATCCTCATATCAGTGCACGGGGAATATATAGTTAATTGACTTTATGTAGGTAAGGAATTGCAGAGGCTTGACTCAGACACGCATACTAAACTGACATCTTTGTTAATCCGCGCAATGTAAAAATTTGAAAGCCGTTGGGGACTCTATCGATCAACATTCACTGCACAGTCTGATAAGCAAACAAATTTCCAACAACAGTCTTGCCAGGAAATTTTCTTGTCATACCTTCAACATCAGAAAGATAGAGTTGCACCTCGTATGCTGAAGTTTAGCCTTGGCCTAACAGCACCTTGTATGCATGATCTTAACCTTACCCTTAACCTTAATGTAATTGAAGGGCAAGTCAAGTTCAACTATATTATAAGAGATTTCCAATCAAAATTAGATTTGCGGTCGAAAAGTGCAATTTGCCTGCCTGTTTGAGAGGCCTCAGATCTAAGCTTTTCTCCGCGAACAGGTTCAAGCAATTTCCTCTGAAGGTCAGACTACCGATACAAAGTTAGGTCTAAAGACGGTATTGCGAGTCCTGGTTGAAGAAAAAGTAATCTGATAGGTTGAATATGGTCTGATTGACACCTCGTTGCTCAGGCTATTATCAGCTTTTCCTTTCAGTGCAAATTCCGCCTTTGGGAATGCGAAACCAGTTTTCATCTGACACTTGCTCAGTTAAACCCAATCATCTGTAGATAACTACAATCTATTTATATACGTAGTAACCTTGAAAACGCAACATGGCTATCATTACCGCCCGTTCATAATGATGATGAAAGTGCGCGAAAACTTATCATTCGACGTGCACGCGTGATCTATCTACCACCCAAGCTGTTTCTTACGCCCTCGGTCTACATATATTGAGTTTTCCAGGTACATGTAGATACTCTTGAAAAGAGTATATTCTATGTGGCCGATATATAATTAACGAATCGGCGCATGAATATCAACCACTTGTTAGAGTTGACATCTCGAAGATCGCCTGTTATTTTCATTGAGGCTGTAATGACTGGTTTACTGTTAGCGGCTTCAGTGCACAGTAAACCAGTAACACCTATTGCTTCAGTGCACAGTGAACCAATCATAATTACCCTGATGAAGGTAGCAAACAGTCATCAAAACGTCGGCACAATTTGTTTTGAACAAAGAACTTTGATATTCAATGATTAACCAACCGGATGAAATTATTTACAGAATCAGAGTATGTTTTGTCATTTCCCCTGTAGGTTGGCCGTTCGGTGACGCCATGTGCCGCTTGGTTCCCTTCATGCAGACTACTTCTGTGATAGCCTCGGTCTTCACTCTACTGGCTATTGCAGTAGACAGGTGAGAGTACGATCTGTCAGTGGTAATTGGTTGAACTCAAAGAGCCTAAGGGGACCTTCCTGACGAATGTGACAAAATTTTTAAATCATTCGGGTGTGAACCAGAAGTTTGACTAGACTATGGTTGGTTGGTGGTTGGCTGGTTTTAAGTAGTTAAGTAGTTTTTTTTTTGTTGGGGGGGGGGTAATTTTGACTCAAATTAAATTCAAATGCGATGTGATTCCTACAGTAAGGTAGAATTGGCCTAAATATGGTCAGACTGCTTCCGAACGTTAGCCAACCATGGTTGTCGGAGGTCGGATAGTCGGAGGAAGGTTTCGAATGTGGGACAGGAGCTTAATATCAAGGTAAATGTCTTTTTCACAGATTCTACGCCGTTGTCCTTCCGATGAAGCCGAAGCTGACCGTGAGCCAAATGGCGAAGGCCATCACCGCTATCTGGGTGTTTGCCGTGTCCATCAGTCTGCCACTCATCATCTTCAACCACGACAAGGAGTACCCAGACCAGGTAGGGAACGTGGTGTACCTGGTCCACCACTGTCAGGAGCAGTTCCCGGGTGTAGACGTCAGTAAGTACTACAGCCTGTCGCTGTTCGTTCTGTGCTACCTGGTTCCCCTCGGCATCATCCTGGTCCTCTACGTCCTCATCGGACATCGGATCTGGTTCAAGGCCACGCCAGGGGGACAGAAAGCGTCGATGGAGGCCCAGAACATCGCCTTACAGAAGAAGAGGAAGGTCGTGAAGATGTTGATAGTGGTAGTGGTTGTATTCGCCTTATTCTGGTTGCCTCTCCACACCACCCTGTTGCTGAATGACTTTGTTGTCCAGTTGACTGACGTCCAGAAACAGATCATGTACATCTACATCTTTCCCATTGCCCATTGGCTGTCATACTTTAACAGTTCGGTGAATCCGATCATATACGGCTACTTCAACCCCAACTTTCGCGATGCTTTTAAGTCGCTGTTTTCCAGAAAGGACGGGAAGGGTTCAGCATCGACCGCACAATCCCGGATAAGCCGCTGTTCATAAGTCATTGTGTCAAACATTCCTGTAATTCAAGGCAGAGTTCACCTGTGAAACAGCCTAGTAAGCTTTGGACACATTTTCCGAATTCCTAAAACAAATTGAAATTTATTATTCTTTGGTCAACTCATGTAAACATCGTAGACAAACAGGGCTAATCATTTTGAATCAAAAGCTTGAGATATATCTGGAAATATGGACCAAAACAGTTTTGCCCATTCCCATGATGCAACCATTGTTTATATTAAACAGCGACACCCGTATAAAAACCAAAGTTACAGATTGACTTTCTTTTTCAGATGGAAGATACAAAAACACAGGCAATGTAAATCCTTTGTTGCCAAAACGTGCTGAAGTGTGTCATTTTATTCCGTGGTAACAGCTTATGTAGAATTAATGGTTTACGCAGAAAACAAGAATTATCTAGAAAATTTTCGTGCACAACTTTGCCCAAGTCGCCATCAACATTCTGTACGCTTATGATAGCCGCGTCACAGGATCAACTCCATATACCCTTTTACCATGAAAGCACATGTATCGGTTAAAAGCAACACGAATCATTTTGTTATCTTTCCGCTGAAGAGGGATGTGTGGGAGGAAGGAATCCTTCCGGCTAGGAAATTGAAGACAAGGTCCTTCAGCAACAGACGTGCAGGTGGTACAGAATGATACAAATTTGATATGCGGAACTCTAAGCCGACAAAACATGGAATTTTCTACGGATACAACAAATTGTATATAGATTTGGGAAGGGCTGGCTATGCTTTCTATTGAACCTGGCTACTGTGAAGTAGGAGAGCACTTAGCTTTGCTTCACTGATTGTATTTCGGTGTTAAAGATATATAGTTAAGTGATTTAAGTAGATTAGCTACGTTAGCATCCGTCTAGAAACCTGTGATGCTGTTGTTTTTTCGTAATGATTGTAAAAAATGCTTAAATCTAGCCTATTAGTTTGCCATTGTCCGTCCTCGTTATTTGTTTTTCTTAAGCACCTGCCATACATAGCCGAATATGGCTCCCCGAACACTGACGAACTTCCTCCAACCATGGTTAGGTCGGGAGCAAGGTTGGTTGGTGTTAGACGTCAGACTACTCCCTAACTTCAGCTAACGACAGGTGCTGTAGAACTCGTCTTGTTGGTCTAGTCTTATTCTGATTTCGTCTAAATTAGTAAGAGTAATAAATGCATGATCAACTGCCGACACACTAATGTGAAGTACTGTGTAGTTACCATTTCGTACAAGGACAATAGACAATTCTAAAGTCGTGGATGTGTTTCTAGCTTGGTAACTTTTTCACGTTGGAGTTTTGTGTAACTGGTGGTAGTAACATTGCACAATACGAGTGTAACTTCAGTTGTTTCGTTCGTGGTTGAAGAAAATTAAATTACCGCACTTTGATCAAACGGATTCTGGTCATTCCTGTCCTCAATTATTATATTTCACTCAAAGCGGATGGATGGTATATTGGTATATGGATGTATGTTTCCCTAAGCCAAGAGAAAACACCATAATGAGGTATAATAACCCGTCAAATCCTTTTTAAAATAAGGTAAAACTGATTTGATTACATGGGTGACATCCTATAGAGACGCCTAAAAGTAGTGATGAGCAAGCAAAGTGATAGGTTTTCTGCTGTCGTAGCTTCTTCTGTATGTAGGAGTGACTATGAATTAAAGGCATAATGTAGTCACCAGTTATCGCGCTACTGCAAGCTAATTTTTATCTAGATATCTCGCCAGGACATGTCTCGCACATCTAGCCAACGAACCTAACGCGGAATCGCACAGAGCTTAAACAGATGTGGCCTGAACGTTATTCCAAGGACACCGGCGGTGTTTGGAGAAGGAGCGCCCTCTGGCAGCTTGAAGGTGAACGACTGCAGCAGGGTGGAAAAAAGCAGGAAAAGCTCCATCCTGGCAAGCTGCTCATCAAGGCACACACGTCGGCTTGGAAGTAAAAATAATGCCGGGTAGTAAGATCTAACAACCGTCGAACAGACTTTGTGTAATCATTAAAAGTTAAGCTGAAGTTCCTTCCTGCATCCGTTTCAGTTGCCATGGGCCACACACAACAGTGCAATTACTACAGCAGGGGGTAAGTCCACTGGTAGTGGTGTGTGTTGAACTCACATACTCGTTCCCAAATGCGGAGTAAACCAATCACTACCACTACGACAGCTTTAGGGACGACAGCTGCATTCTTCACATCGCAGCAGCGACACCTAGCTGTATTGCGACGTAGAAACAGTCAGTACTGCTCTGAAGAAGGTGAATGCTGATGATATATAACCTTTAAGATATATAATGAAATAAGATGTTTATTGCAAATTCATGCCCGAGGGCTAATTGCATACAGACCTTAACAAGAAAAATGTGGTGATATAAGACTATTTGCTAACAACTTCTACGTGTACGATATATAATAATGCTAACTAATCAAAGCAATTTCAGCAAACGATAGATTCTCCAATTAGAACAAAAATCAGCAATACTAACATTGGACAGTACCACTTTTATGTTTGATTATCTCTGCAGGCAATTTGATTATCTCGTTGAATTCAAGCCAGCAGAACACAGCATTCGCCCTATGGGGATTTCTACAGTGTCTCACTTTGACGTGTTAAAATCATTTGATACATTTAACCACCAAACAGGTCAGTTGTGCGTTCATATTTTATAAATCATGACACAACTCATATTATTATGGATTATGGACTTCCAAATAAAATGTGACCGTGTTTTATCTCTACACGTCAAGGAATATAATATACGTGATGCGATTCATGGGGCTTATTGACTTTGATAATAATTGACAATAATAATAACCATAATCGGCGGTGCGTATCTAATTATGGATCTAAAAATGATCTCTCGAGACCAACAAAAATATCAATCTCTGCACCTAATGTTCACATCATAACATTTTACGATGATGTGTTTTATTTGTTATATTTGGGCATAAATGTTATTGTTCAGTCGATAAAAATATCTATATTAGCAAGAGGTCAGTCAATACTAAGGGATAATGAAACCTCTCTATAACTTGGGACCTATAGGTTTTTTGTGGCTCAGTTGGGTCTTTATTTAGTCTGCAATAGATTCATCATGAGTTATGGTCAGCCTGTAGGACGTTTTCAGGAGTTGCAGGTAGATGTACGTCCAAAGCCCTTGTCACATATAGCCGGATATGGCCTCTCGAACACTTACCTCCCCCCCCCCCGAATAGGTCAGCTGAAAGGACTAAAATTTAACTCAAATTAGATTCTATTCGTAAAAAAAAGTCTAAATCTGGTCAGTCTGCTTCCTAACTTCAGCCATCCTTGGTCGGGTTAGTGTTCTGGGGGAAGGTTCTGAATGTGTGATAGGAGCTTTATGGAAATTCTCCGTCTGATCCACTGTATGTCAAAATGTAATACAGAGTGACAAATTTGAGAGGACCTTTCGCAAACACAATTTCACTTCCTCGTCTGCTGCAGTCCCATATGGCCCACACTGTATTGATCTCTCAACCAGCATAATGTTATTTTAGTGACAAGTTTCACGTTATAAATCTTCTTAATGAACAATATGGTAAAACAAGTCTCCCCACAATCGATTTTTCTGGATGTAATGATTCACATGATTGGTCTGGGGAACGACAAAGTCACTAAAATTTACTCATTACGATATCAAAAGAAAATCCCATCAGGCATGTGCTAATGCTTTTGGTAAAAAAATGTAATCATAACTGGCACATATATAATAGGGTCATAAATTGATCTGTCACTGCTATGACCACCGATGACCTCAAAACTGATGAACCTTTCTGATCATCATAGTTTACTACAGGACAAACTTTAACCTCCTGGCCTTTTCGCGTCACGTGGAATATGCCAAACTATTGTTACTCAAGCAACAGATATATTTCGACAACTGACAGTTTAAGTAGCATCCACTACTTTCGTCAGTGACTAACATAATCTGTATCTGAACAGGTATTTATCCAACAATTATGAATTTATAAAAAAATATGAATTGATACACATACCTCAGAATTTTCGACGTGTGTATTTGCTTCTTACCTTCTGAAATCGTCACTGATTGATGAATATTCGGTCCGAAATATTTTACTAAAAACTGTGAAGACTCTCTTTAACGACAAAAATCTGACGTGTTGTAAATAAATCGCTGGGTAAATATGTAGAATGTTACCATTGAGTATATTATGCCATTGACCAATATTGGCCAATATCTTCCTACTCAAGAATTTGCATTGTCAGATGTAACAATGACACATAACGGCTATGACAGACAAAACGTATGTTGGAAAAGCATAGTGATACCACAGCGGTAAACATTGTAAGCATTTTCCGTTGCCCGATATAGCTGCGAACGACCAATACGTAGAGAACTACCAAGGGTGGAACTTAACTTGACTTAGAAATAATGAACAACTAATGATCATCCACTCAAAATTCTGATTCAGTCGTGTCTCCATCTACTGCCTAAAGAAACAATCAGCAGGAGAAGAGGTCCAAACTCTACAAGCCCGATTGCTTCTCGTCGGTTTTCTTTGAAGGATAATTGAATCCCAACAGAACAAAAAGGCCACGAGTCCTTTATAAGAAATTAACGAAGCGTTCGGTACGTGACGCCATCGGATTTAAAAATAGACTACACGAAAGGAGCTTGAGGTAGAGAGAGAGAGAGAGAGATGCCTGTGATCTTGAACTGTATATTTTGTCATGTCAGCGCGTCCTGATCATGGCTATCGATTTTTAAGAGTCACTCTTAATTATAGCTTACTATAACTTTACAATACTGCGATCTACATGCTTGTCAGTGGAACCACGCACACATATACAACAGAGCTATCAAAGATCATGCAAAGACTGAGACCTTCTTGAGAAGCAGCCACCAGCTACTGGCGTCTGAAGTACTAGTAGCTTTGTTAACCGGTTAACCTGGCAATATTCTTGCGCCCTCTGATCCGAGCAGACTTGTGTTTCGTCCATCCTTCTTGGTGGTGTTTTTGAGGCTGTTTTGGGCCTTTTGGTCAGTTCTCTTTGTACTGTTCCGGTGTATGTAATTTTGTGAGGCATTTGTATATTTGCCTGGTATGCTAGTATTTTGTAGCAGTAACTATTGTCTGTAGGTACATTTGTAGTTTCTTGTGTGTGTTCTTTGGTCGGTATACATTTGCATGACAATAGACGGCGTGTGCCTGTTGGTGCACACCTGCAGCCTAACAGTTGATTTGCATAGAGACCAGACAGTAGTTGTCTGCACCGTCTGTGGTTCACTTCTTTGTGGACTTTGTGGTTTGCTGGCGTGCTTGCCAGCTAGCTTCCATGTTTCCTTGCTAGTTTGTTTCCTTACTTGTTTGCTGGCTTGCTTGCTGGTTTTTGGGGTAGCACCTCACTGTCCTTTTTCCTTTGTTCAAAGTTGTATTTCCTGGGTGGGTGCCTTTGCAGTCATAGATGGTAGCGAAATTTCCGCGACCTGACTCGTCTCGCCAATTTTACTCTCCCTCTTGCCAAACCTACGACCTGTATTCCCTTAGAAAAGGCCTGGTGGAGCCTAGGATTGATGTGATTGTGGATCTGGACACAGTTTGTCGATTCATGTAAAATATGCACATGGACATCAATCCTAGCATTCGCCTGCCCAATTGTTGGCTGTGCGATTAGGGCTCTATCGCCTGCAAAGTGGTTGATTTACATGGTTTATTCAGTGCAGAGTTTCTAGAGAGTAAGGCACGGATAGGTTTGGAGAGTTGGTTTTCCAAACCGTCGAGTGTTTAGTTTTGGATAAAATTTTGAATCCCCTACCAAACCTAAGGCTTCCTCTTTCTGTGGTCTTACACGTCGTATTATTTT